ATACATTTTATTCATATATATACACACAGTTTACACAGATACTGCAGTACTCATCTGAAGGATTTGTGGGGTTTTTTTAAGAGTTCTTTTGCTCTACCAAAGTGAAAATGAATATGAAATGTACAAGGAAATCACTCTTGAAATACAGCCTTGGATTTTGCATAGATGCATTGAATATTCAGCTTTATACAAAAATCATAGGGAAATATGAATCATTCCCATTTTGTGCTTAAATTTTATTTCTTCTGCCGTCACTGAGGATTTGAATCCCTGGAGTTGCATTCAGAATTGCTCCACAGCATGAGGGAAAAGTCTGTAGTTATATGTAATAGCTTTCTGTCGTTACCTTTTACCCTAGAGTTTTGGTTTGCTCCATTTAAGTAGTCGGTAGAGACATGAAAGCTGATTCTCACCTTTAAATATGTTAATAGAAAGTAGTTTTACTGAAATCAAAGAATTTGCGTTATTATACTTGCAAGGGCAGACTTGGTTGCAGAAATGCTGGTAAGAAAAGACGCTTTTATTTCACGTTTGATTTCACCTGAAACTAATAGACTCCTGTCTTTTTTTTTTTTTCTCTCTTTTAATGTTTCACAGGGCTATTGTGGCTTTAGTCTACAATGTGTTGAAGGCATTTATGGAAATGAACAGCACCATGTTTGACGAGCTGACAGCCACTTACAAGTCAGATCGTCAGCGGTAACTTTTTAAATCTTTTTTTGTCAGCGGTGCATAAGGCCTGCCGTTCAGTTTTTCCCTTACGCTCAGATGCAGTTGCGTAATCTCACACATAATAGACACAATGCCTCATTTTTCCCCCTGCATGCTCTTTAGCCTTCTCTTTGCAAGATGTAAGATAACATCATGTATGGGTTGTTCTTTACCCCTTGTGAAGTACAGTACCCCTTGCACTGCTTGTGAATCCGCATTCCTCGTGGAATTCCTTTTGACTCTGCATTCCAAAAGATTTGAATGTATCTTCAATATAAAAGAAAAACAAGGGCTTAAAGATACCACTTGTCTTAAGGACTTCAAAAAAGTCTCACTGAGGTTTGGAAAGAGACATGAGACATCCCATAATTTCCCAAACTGCTGTTCGTAGGCTAGCTGAGGTCTTAAAGCAAAGAGGCATCTCTCAACCCTTTCGTTTCTTACGTGGGGGTCTTGCTGTGTCTGAGTCTTTTAGCATGCAGGATCCCTTAGTTTGACCACTCATATGATCGTTAGTTATTAGTTCTACCCTAGTAAAACACTATTTGTCTTTTTTCCTTAATCATAATTTTCCACTTAGCGTAACATCTTTTCTCAAAAGTTTCTGCTTATCCAAAGCATCAGGTGAAAAAACTGAGGAAACTTCAGGAACTCTGAACAGTTTGCAACTTTATTTAAGTCCTGCCTTTTCTGTGACTCAGGGTTCCCCCCAAGCAAAGCAAAGGGTATTGTATCTTGTCTGGTTAGGTTAGTATGGACTCTAAAGTCTCTTGGAGGCCGTATTTTTTCAAGTGTGTGACTGGAGTCACGCAATCCTTTTGTTCTGCTTTGTTGCTCTAAGATACAAAGTCTTACACACAAACAGTCTACACTCAACAGGTTAGTTCATTAATAGGGTATTTTAGGTTTAGAGGCTTGGATATATATTTGAGCTAAGATGCCTGATGAATTCTAGATTGGTGTTGATAAATAAGGCTAAACCTGCTAGGGCGGTTGGGACAACGCTGCGCGGTTTCCTAGTAGAAAAGGCAGAAAATCTTAGGTCAGTCCCATTTACTGAGGGACCTCAGTGACCTAAATCAACGTGTGATTGCACTTTGCACCTTAAGGTCAGGAGCTCTGCTCCTACCAGGACCAGACACTGTAGCAGTATGTCCCGTGTCTGGATAATGGGTGAGGTGTATTGGCCGAACTGCACAAGGCTTTTTTCTGGCACCTACTGACATTTTATCTCCTATCAATGCTGGTGCTAACCATTTCACCTGTTTTACTTACTGCTTATCATTTAAAAACATATAAATAGCTGAATGTACAAACTGGGATATTTACCTTAATGTTTACAGGAAATCTTTAGCATCTTAATAAAACGAGGTTTCAAAAGGGTAGCTTTCATACCGCTTAAAGCTCGAGGAGAAATATCTTCAATATCAATGACTATGATAGGTCAAATGGGTAGGTCTTGAGGTGATCATCCTCCAGGAGTGTTTTAGGGAAGCAGGCGTATGTTTCACAGTGATGAGAAGATAGGTATTGGTAAGTAGCCTGAAAATGCCAGGCTATTTCACTCACTCTTATGTTCAATTTTAAATACTTTCTAGTGACAGTGGGCTTTTTTCTTCCTTCTGTTCTTCAGGGATTTATCTGAAAGTTCTTCGTATTCTCTTATAGGTTTAAAATACTCTTGGGAAATTAAAATTTCAAATAAATGAGCCAGATGTTGGCATTTTAGCTGAAACAAGATGTGTAGGAATGTTTCTAATCCTCTGAAATATTTTTCAGGAATACTCTAATGTGACCAGCAGAGAATCTTTATCTCTGTAACTGTTAGATTTCCATTTCGTCTGAACCTACAAAGTGATTTAATAGAAATTGAAAGCATTTTGTATCTTGCAGTATCAAGGAGGTTTATTCAAAGTAAGCTATGACAGAGACAGGACATTTGGAAAGCAAATAATGCAGGTAAAGCAAATGTTAGGTTAGCTGTTTATTTTATCAAATCAGTCATTAGAGTTTGCTGTTAAAGGAGGTGCTACGTAGATCTTTTTGTAGGAATCTGGTAAGGGAGAAAAATAGTAAATCACTGAACGAAAGAGACATCTTGTAACTTGAACTTTCCCTTGGCCGGTGCCTAAGCTACACGAAAACCACCAGTCAATGTAAGTAAGAACAGTGTTTCTCAAAGGATAAGGGAATACTTGTTCTAGAAAGTGGCTGTTATTTATAGATTGAAGAATGCCTTGCTTAAAAAAACGAACTTGAAAATAATTAAATGCAAGTTAGTTCTGAAATAGTAATTTTATAATCCTGATATATTTGTTTCTTCTGTATTTCAAAGTAGTGTCTATGAACACTGTCATTTTGTTCAACTCACGTTTTATCTTGTCTTACCACTTTGTTTAGCTATCTCTGTGTAGGTAATGAAAACAAAACAAAAACAGAAGAAAAATACAGAAATTAAGTATGTTAGGGTAATTGCAGTCGTGGTCAAGAAAATTAGTGGTGCTAGTTCATGTCAACTATGTATTTTTAAACATAAATATTCTACAGTCTTCTCTCTTGCTAACTCTTTGTTTTATTTCATCTGTCAGTGAGAAGAAGAAAGAGAAAGAACGTGAAGAATTGTGGAAAAAACTGGAGGATTTGGAATTAAAGAGAGGTCTTAGACGTGACGGAATAATTCCGACTTAACAAAAAAACAAAACAGCATTATTAACCTGTGGAGTCACACATTTATGTAGTAGAAGATGGAGCAACAGTTTTCTGTATTGTGCAACTTTACAGTAGATTTCACATTTGTTTCATTATTACAACAGCACTGTATATACCTGTCTCTAAGTAAAGGAAAAAATAAAGACTTTAATCCAAAGTTTGGACAGCAGATGGACTTCTCAGAACTTTGCAAACATAATAATTGTTATAACCCTTCTTTAAAACCAGTCTTCAAAGATCTGTTGATGAAAATTGCAATGTCAAATTCCATTGTCAGGACCTGTTCCTTATTTATCGTTAGCAGAGAGTATAATACAACTTTCAAATGTGAACAATCTTAAAATTTAGCTTGTCTTTCTGCTAAACTGTTAAGTGTATTTATAGTAAAAGAGAAAAAAAGACTGTCATTTCCTTATGAGTTTGTGTAACATCCTCCTTCTCTGGATAACTTTACTGTAATTTGACTTTCTTTTCCTTTTGCACATCTTCATAAGTTGAATGTCCATTGAGATCAGGGCCTTGAAAAACATAGGTCCTGAATAAAAGTTTTGTTTACTGGTGTGAGCATTTTTTCAGTACCAGGCTCTCTCTGGTGCTTCCTTAATTTGAACATTAGGAGTTGAAAAACAAGTAGGTGATAAACATAGTAGGAAAAGGAGCTTTGGATTTGTGCACCTATTTATTGCAAATCTAAATTTGTGTCCACAATCCTTTAAAAATGGGCAGTGGTAACACCCTGGACTTCAGTACCTAACCAGTATTAGTGATCTGGCATTGGACACACATAGCGGAGTTGTTTTAGAAGTACTAATTGCTAAATTATTACAGTATGTTTTATTGGACCATTTTGAAAGAATAAAGACAAACGCTGAACAGTGCAAGCATGAAATTGATCTCTTGTGGTCATGGATCTAATTGGAAATTGAGTTGAGATAGTTTGGACTGTTTGGAGTTGTTGCCTTACTTTTTAATAAAGTGTTCCAGCAAAAGAGGATGTAGCCTCTACAAAACATACTCTAGTGTTTTTGTGGTTGTAGTACTATTACTCGTCACAGTACCAGCCCTATGGTCTTAGCTGGAAAGGATTCTGGATAATATACTTCTGCATTCTCATCTGGATGCTCATTCCTAACTACTGTATTTGTTACCAAAAGTGGTTCTACAAATGCTACTGAAAAAAAAATTCTGGAAATCCTAATGTTCTGAGTATTAATAATAAAGTTTAAAATGCTTTTATATCAAAGGTGCATTGTGACCAAATTGTTTAAAACAAAAGAGAAAAAAAATACAAAAGCAAGGAAGAGGGCTGTATTATAAGTATACATTATTGGCTATCTGCTTTGTATTTGAAAGTGGAATCTTACATCTTTGGTAGGTAAAATGCTGATAAGACTTATGTACAGTATATATTTAGCTAATGCAGTTGCATTATTATATACCGAAAGGTATGTGTTTCAGGATTTTTCTCCAGGATGCTTTTGAACTGTTATAGACATGACAACAGTGAATTGATAATCCTAAACCATCAATCCAGCAGTATTTACAGTATAAAACTAAATTGGTGTTCATGAGTCTTTGTGATAGTTGCAAACATGAATTTATGACCTGTTGCCATGGATAGAAATACAGTATAAATACAAGCTTGTATATTTTTCTTCCTACCATTTAAGTATACAGTAGGATTTGAAGTTTTCTTGTTTTCAGGCACAGTAAAGAAGTGAAAAAGAATTCCCTCCTAGACTACTGACTGTTTCAGGATTATCAGGTCACAGTTTGTACTTCTGGGTCTGCGCACACAAATGTTGTAAACTCAATGATTTTGTAAAAACTTGACACTGTTAATTCTGAAAAAATAACCCCCAAAAATAGTCAAACTAGGCATATGCAACACCAAACACAACATGGTTTAAGGGATTAATATGAGCTGCTTCTAAGAACACTGACTGGGACGCAATGTAAATTGGGCAGTTACTGTTACAGTTGAAACATTTTATTTTAGAGTGCTGAAGCAAAAGGTGCAAGCTGAAATACTGAAGATTAAATAAATTTATAACAAATCATGTCCCTTAGCCCATTGATTTTGACAGTCTTTTATTTCTGTTACCAAAAAATGCTAGTGTGATTTCTGTGTGAAGTGATCATGCTTTACAAGAGGGTGGACTTCAACTCACGCTCAAAGACTATGTTCAATGTGAAAAACTGAGATAGAACGGAGGAAAAAAAGATTAATGTTTTCCACCTGGTGGAGTAAAACACAACAATGTGAAATTAGAAAAGCACCTTGTCCTGTACTTAGAGTTTAGGTGAGTGTTGTTTTTTCATAACTATTTTTGGTTTTGACATGACATTCTGGTATTGATCATACAGAACTGATGAGAACCTGATGGGTTGCAATATTTTGTTACCTCTGATGTTGCCTCTGATGTGGGGATAGTGGGGAGTATCTAAAGTTTATAGACGATTTATCACTTCCAAGAAGGAATGTTTAAAGTGAATGCGACGATGTGATATTAGTCACTTGACTCTAAAAGGCTGATACGGCAGCAGGTTGCACTGTGCGATGTACATGAAGAAGCACTTGCCACAGACATGTGACCGTACCCCCGGGATCCGCTGTTTGCCGCAATCCAGATGCGATGTCCTGCCGCTCTGCAGAGCTCCCGCTGGTATCAGTTGGAGTTGTAGGCAAAGGCGGTGGCAGCGTATGGGCCCAAGTGTGATCAGTGTGTCCTTTTAAGTATGCTTTCGTTTGCTTCTTGAGTTCCAGAAACTACCTTTATTTGTGTAAGTGTTTTTCTTAACTGCTCGTACAACAGTTGTTGGGTGGTCGCTCGTGTTCCTGTACCATATTGGTTTCAGGAGAAAGGGTTGAATGCGCTCTGGTCAAGGGAAAGATCTGCATTTTCACTACAAGGGCATTGCATCAGGTCATGGGGATATAACAACTGTAGAAGTTCCTCTCGTATACTTTGAATTGAGCACATATTGCTTTCTTCGTCTTGCAAGTCTCCCTTACTGTTTTCCTTTCATTGCTTTTGAGTGTTTTTTGTCTCTCTTCCAAAGGTTGGAATGCTTCAAATAAAAGTATTCTAATGCCATTGGAGCGTTCACTAGCAGAGTTACAGTAAATTTAATCTTGGTTTTGTTAGCATAAATAAAAGGATTTAATTTATTTTTTTATCTCCTATATATGGAAAAATCGAGGGTGTTAGAGCCAAGAATTGCTGGAGTAAGAAATGCAGCAGCTGTACTTACATTATACGTGCGTAAGTACAGCCTCGGGCGCTCTCACTCTATGGAAAGGAAAATCTATTAGGAGCTTTAGAACCTCATTATTGTTTTGTGAGGAGAGGGAAAGGCTAGAGATTCTTCTCCCCCTAAGTAAAACTGAAGTAATTTGCTCCTAGTTCTGTCTTGGAAAACAAAGATAGCCTCTTCTCTTAGTTGCCTAACGACACCATCCCAAAGCAGTTGCCCTAAATGAAGACAAAGGTGACAATGCACAGGATTGAAGAATGTTTTTATTTACATGTGGCTTTTTTGTTTTGGCTCGCCTGCTCCCTTCAGCAGCTCTGAAGGGAGCCACACATTCATTTTTCTAGTAGGTATGTGCAGCAGATTTTGTATAGCCCAGTTTTTTGTTTCGAAGTCTATGAAACAGTCTCTTGAAACAGAATAGAACTAATTTTGGTTGAAAACTTTTCTCCGAGTGTTGCTTCCCATCCACAGAAGCGCACACTTTTTATCATGACCTCTCTGAAGACAAGTTTTTGTTATTTGGATCACTTACTGTAAATATGTTGTATTCATAACCTCATGTAATGATGAGGAGTTTTCAAATATAAATAGTACCGATACATTTCTTGTTGTTGTCCTATTTTGGATTGTAGTATAGCGAATGACCTGTCATGCTTTTTGTTTAAAGGTTAGCATTAGATTCATAGATCTTAATATTTTAGCATTTCATTGTTTAAGCAGGAGAGGGCAGCAAAAGTTCATTTTTCCCCATAGGAATGCTCTGGTCCATTACTGTTTTTAAACTTAGATGCATTTAACTATCTGTGGGTAGGGGGGAAAAATGAAACGTTTTTTATATATATTAAAAGGTGCATATGAAAATATATAGACTGGTCCAACCAGACTGTGAAAATGTCTTTTACTCTACATCAAAGTAATAATAAAAGAAAATTACCTTCCACCTCTGGATAAAGTACAAGCAGGTCTTAAGCTCTTGGATTCAAATGTCATTCTTTGGAAATAGTTTACTTTCTTAAAAGTGGTATCAAAGCAACTCGAACTCAATGGTGCTCCCAGTGATAAATGTGTAATCCTCCTCTTGCACATGCTCAAGAGGCTCTGTACTGAGGGTGCATCTAAATAAAGAAGCAATGAAGTGTTTTCCAGGTGCTTGGCTTTTTTTTCCACCTCTTCCCCTCTAAACTTTATGTACCTTTTCAACAGCGAACTTCCAGCGACCGGATCCCATCCACGTGTAATTAAATGTAAGGACACTTGTCTTAAGAAAAAACCCCACCCAATCGATGAGAAGGTAATTTAAGTTTCTGCCAGAATTACCATAGTAAATGCCGAGTTTTCATTAAGCTTATTTTTTTTAAAGGTCCTTTTGTGATGGTGAGCATCTTCGTGCCCACAACCACGCCTGTGAGGAACGTAAAGAGCAGTGGATACAGAAAAGAGGCATTAGATTTTTATAAACCCTTTGAGCCTTACGCTTTGCAGCTGGAGAAGAAACTTGCTCTTTCAGGGCAGCATTCTGCTGTTTCAGTCCTCGTGCTACTCTTCTTTGCGGTTTGGAAGTGAGGACAAAGGCTGAAGATGGTTACAGTACATGGGAAACAAGCTCTGGAGAGAGCCACGGATAGAGCCTGGTGAGGGATGGTGCTGGTGAGCGGCTTTACCAGAGGCGCAGACGGTAGGGATGCTGCAATAAAACTGGAGACAAGATCTGTTAAACATCTACTTCCGATTTTAAATGCCAGTTTCCTCCAGTAGCCTAATTCTTAAAAATTCATTCAATTTTTTCCTAATTAAATTTTCAGCGGTTGGATGTTGTGTGCTTTGTTAGAAAAGCTCATCACAAATCTCTTTAAAAACCTGCAAGACAGTATTTGGGTCACTTAACAACCTCATGTTCTTTACTTCCTCATTGCAAGGCAAGTGTTTTCCAAAGAAGTTGAAATATCCAAAACCATGCAGTAAGTTGGCCTTGAGGGTAGGATTTGTCTTCAATACTTGCAAGTTAGAAAACAACCTTTAAATGATTGAAATTAAAAACTTTAATTAGTTTCCTACTTTTGGTAATGGTAATTGCGTTGCTAATTTTTCATTCTTGTCTTTCCTTCTCAGGAATGTTTTGGTTTCTCATGTAATAGTTCCTAGTTTACCGGACATTAAGTTTGGACCCCAGATCACAAGTCTGTGCCCTACAAAAGCAGTTTTGCGTGCAGGTAAAGGCTGTTCCCCAAGCCTGTAGTCAATAACCGCTTTAATGTCTAGCGAAGCGATGGTTTGGGTATTAAACGGGGAACTGATACAAGGTCTTGCTTTATGAGTTCAGAGCTATCTACGGTTTTAAAGATTAAATGCTGAAGCCAAAGCAAGTATCCTTAAGTTGTTTGTAAGTACCCTGAAACAAGTGTACTAACCCACTCTGAGTACTAAATGTACTGTTCTGGAAGTCTCCATCACATGAACAATTGTCACACTGAAACTTGTATCTTTTACTGGTTTTTTGTTTGGTTTGGGGCTTTGTTTTCCTCCATTCATTTTGTCTATTCAGTACTTTCCCTCTCTGAAATCACTGAAGGTGTGAGAAGTTAGGGATCATTCAGGACAGAAGGAAAGCTTGCGATACCTTTAAAGAAATGCGTATTGTGTATTGCTGGAGGGTGGCTCATACCTTTGATAACGCGCTTTAAAACGTCTGTGAAATTGTCTTTCATTATCCCTGAATCTGGGGAGGTCTTACAAAAAGAGAATGGGGAATGGATATTCTACACAGCTTCTGAATCTTGTTTTCAAAATTTGTACTTTGTCACCAGCTGGGAGAAGTTTTTGCTTGTCCAGCAAAAAAAACCCCAATTCAAACCCCAAAAAAACAGCCTCTGCACTTCATCAAAAAAATGAGAGAAAGCAGCAACGCAAGGGGCAGTATTTATAGAGCAGCTGGCTGGTGGGGTGCTGCACTGAGGGTACGTATGCCTGCCTGCCACGCAAAGCAGG